ATTGATTTTTCCTATCCATGAGCATGGAATGTTTCTCTATTTGTTTATGTCATCTCTGATTTCTTTAAGCAAGTTTTGCAACTCTCATTGTAGAGATCTTTCTTCCTGCCTAGTTAGCCACATTCCTAAGTATTTTATTCTTTTTGTGGCAGATGTGAATGGGATCGCTTTACTGATTTGGCTCTTGGTTTGGCCATTGTGTACAAGAATGCTGTGATTTTCGTATGTTGGCTCTTATATCCCAAAACACTGCTAAAGTAGTTTATCAGTTTACAGAGGTTTTTGGCCAATAATATGTAATTTTCTAGATATAGAATCATGTCAGCTGCAAACATGGATAGTCTGACTTCCTCTCTTCTTATTTAGATACACTTTATTTTTTTCTCTCACCTAACTGCTCTGGCAATGACTTCCAATTATTAATATATGTTGAATGGGAATGGTGAGAGAGGGCATCCTTGTCTTGTGCTGACTTTCATATGGAATGATTTCAGTTTTTGTCTATTCAGTATGATAATGGCTGTGGACTTGTCATAAATGGCTCTTATTACTTTTAGAAATATTTTTCCAATACCTTGTTTGTTGAGAATTATTAACATGAATGGGTTGTTGATTTTTTATTGAAAGCTTTTTCTTCATTTATTGAGATAATTATATGGTTTTTGATGTTAGTTCTGTTTATGATTTGCATATGTTGAACCAACCTTGAATCCCAGGGATAAAGCCCACTTGATAGTGGTGAATTAGCTTCTTGATGTGCTGCTGGATTCGGTTTGCTGATATTTTGCTGAAGATTTTTGCATCAATGTTCTTCAAAGATATTGGCCTGGAGTTTCCTTTTTGTTGTTTTGTTTTGTTGTTTTGTTTTAGCTCTGTCATGTTTTGGTATCAGGATGATGCTGGCTTCATAGAATGAGTTGGGAAGGAGTCCCTCTTCAATTTTTTGCAATAGTTTTGGTAGAAATGGTACCAGCTCTTTTACATCTGGTGAAATTCAGCTGTGAATCTATTTGGCTCTGGGCTTTTACTGGTTGGTAGGTTATTTATCACTAATTCCATTTCAGAGCTCATTGTTTGTCTGTTCGGGGATTCAATTTCTTCTTGGTTCAGGCAGGGTACAGTGGCTCAGTCCTATAATCCCAGCACTTTGGGAGACTGAGGTTGATGGATCACTTGATGTCAGTTGTTCAAGACCAGCCTGGCCTACATGGTGAAACTCCATCTCTACAAAAAAATACAAGAATTATCCGGGCATGGTGGTGCATACATCTAGTCCCAGCTACTTGAGAGGCTGAGGCAGGAGAATCACTTCAACCTGGGAGGCAGAGCTTGCAGTGATTCAAGATCATGTCACTGCACTCCAGCCTGGGTTACTCTGTCTCAAAAAACAATTCTTCCTGGTTCAGTCTTGGGAGGGTGTATGTGTCCAGCAATTTATTCATTTCTTCTCGATTTTCTACTTTGTTCATAGCATTCTCTGATGGCTATTTGCATTTCTGTGGGGTCAGTGGTAATATTCCCTTTGCTATTTCTAATTGTGTTTATTTATATCTTCTCCCTTTTCTTCTTTATTAGTCTAGCTAGTGATCTATGTATCGCATTAATTTTTTAAAAAACACCTTCTGGATTCATTCAACTTTGTTTTGTGTCTCAATCTCCTTCAATTTAGCTGTGATTTTGGTTATGACTTGTCCTCTGCTAGCTTGGGGATGGGTTTCTCTTGTTTTTCTAGGTCTTTTAGTTGTGATGTTCGTTGGTTAATTTGAGATCTTTCTAATTTTTTGATGTGGGGGTTTAGTGTTATACATTTCCCTCTTCTCTTAACACTTCCTTAGCATGTCTCAAATATTCTGCTATGTTGTATCTTCTCATTAGTTTTAAAGAGCTTCTCAATTTCTGCCTTAATTTTATGCTTTACCCCGAAGTCATTCAGAAACAAGTTGTTTTTCACGTAATTGTATGGTTTGAACAATTATCAGTCTTGAATTGTATTTTTATTGTGCTGTGTGGTCCAAGAGCAGTGGTTAGGTTTTTGGGTTTCTTTTGCATTAGCTGAGGATAGTTTTATGTCCAAATATGTGGTTGATCTTAGAATATGTTCCATGTGAAAATTAAAATAATGTACATTCTGTTGTTTTGGGTGGAGTGTTCCATATATGTCTAGTAGGTGCATTTGGTCCAGTGTTGCGTTTAGGTTCTGAATATCTTTATTAATATTCTCCCTCAATAATCTGTCTAATACTGTCACTGGGGTTTTGAAGTCTCCCACTATTATTGTTTGGGAGTCTATGTCTCTTTGACGGTCTCTGAGACTTACTCTATGAATATGAGTGCTCCTGTGTTGGGTGCATAGATATTTGAAATAGGTCTTCTTGTTGAATTGAATCCTTTACCATGATGTAATACCCTCCTTTGTCTTTTGTGATCTTTGTTGGTTTAAAGTCTATTTTGTATGAAATTAGGATTGCAACTCCTGCTTTTTTCTGTTTTCTATTTGCTTGGCACATTTTTCTCCATCCATTTATTTTGAGACTATGGGTGTCATTGCATGTGAGATGGGTCTCTCGAAGACAGCATACCAATAGATACTTGGTTCTTTATCTAGCTTGCTAAGCTGTGTCTAATAATTGGGCCGTTGAGCCCATTTACATTCAAGGTTATTATTGATATGTGTGGATTTGATTCTGTCATCATAGAAAAAAAGGAACAAACAAAAAGAATTAAAAGGAACAAATAAAACCTCTGTGAAATATGGAGTTATGTAAAAAGACTGAATCTATGACTCATTGGCATCCCTGAAAGAGATGGAGAAAATAGAAAACACATTTCAGAATTTCCATCCATGAGAACTTCTCCAATCTAACTAGATAAGCCAACATTCAAGTTCAGAAAATGCAGATAAACCCTGCAAAATACTTTACAAGGAGATCATCCCCAAGACACATTACCATCAGATTCTCCAAGATCAGAATGAAATTTTAAAAGTTAAAGGCAGCTGGAGAGAAAGGTTAGGTCACTTACAAAGGGAGGCCTGTCAGACTAACAGCAGACCTCTCAGCAAAAACTCTATAAGCCACAGGAGATTGCAGGGTTATATTCAACATTCTTAATGAAAAGAAAGTTCCAACTAAGAATTTCATATCTGGCCAAGCTAAGCTTCATAAGCAAAGGAAAAATACCATCCTTTTCAGACAAGCAAATGCTAAGAGAATTCCTGCCACCAGAGCTGCCTTACAAGAGCATCCAAAAGAGGCACTAAATATGGAAAGAAAAGACCATCACCAGCCACCACAAAAACACATGTAAGTATACAGATCAGTGACATGATAAAGGAACAGCACAAGCAAGCCTACATAATAACCAGTGAACAACACGATGACAGGATCAAATCTACGTATATCAATACTAAGCTTGAATGTAAATGGGCTAAATGCACCAATAAAAGGCACAAGTGGAAAATGGATAAAGAAGCAAGACCCAATGGCATATTATCATCAAGAGACCCATCTCACATTCAATGACAGCCATAGGTTCAAAATAAAGAGATGGAGAAAAATCTATCAAGCAAATACAAAGCAAAACAAGCAGAGGTATCAATTCTAGTTTCAGTCAAAACAGACTTTCAACAAGCAAACATCAAAAAAGACCAAAATAAAAGCATTACATAATGGTAGCAGGTTCAATTCAATAACAAGGCTTAATTATCCTAAATATATTTGCACTCAACACAAGAGCACATACATTCATAAAGGAAGTTCTAAGAAATTATTTGGCTAATCTTGACAGAGAGAAAAAGAGAGAAATATAGGATATTCACCACTTTACAGAAACTATTACAAGAAATTGTATATGTATGTTTCTTTCCGCTTTTCCTGTCTCTTAAATAAGGCTATTAATTCTCCGGCTTAAAGAGACAGATTTGTTTCCTTGCCAAGTTCTTTTGACTTGAGTGTTCTCATGAAGCGTAATTCACTATGCCCAGAAAAAGACCATTTCTAACACTTGTTCCTAACATTTTTAAACAGTTGACTGGTTGCAATAGATCCAAGACAATTCTTGAACCTAGCTCAATTCCATGCTATTATTGGGGAGAAACTGTGAAGACCAGTACAAGACAAGGAACAATTACCTTGTTTAAATTACCAAGGAAGGAACAAAACACTGTGGCCAGTCATCTTCCACAGATTGATCCGAGCACACATCTCTACATCATCAGGTCTCTGATACTTTCTCAGAGGAGCAGGACCTTGTGCACTCTGTCATCACCATAAATCTAGACTTTTACAGTTGGAACCTTCTACTCACTGCTGCAAGCAGCATTGACTCGATCTCTATTGGTTCTCCTGCAAAAACAGAAAATATTTTATGCTATTTTTTTTTTTTTTACAAATGAGGCCCTCCACCCTCCTGTTGGCTCTTTCCATACCTCTGCACCCACCAGGGAATTTGAATATTGTCCCCTAGGGAAGCCCTTTCCTTGTTAGTCAAAGATAAAAGCTCAGCTCCAACCTTGCCTTAAACAATCAGGGCTCCTCCATTCACCTTTCCAAAATGAGGCTTCCTGCTCAGCAACTGGGGCTGCTAATGCTCTGGGTCCCTGATAAGGGAAGAAGGGAGATGAGAGAGGAGAATTTGGTGGGAGGGTGAGCTCTAGGTGTTCCTCTGCATCCCATGTGTGTTCTGTCCACATGTCAGATGTGCTCGTCTGGCTCAGGCATGTAGTGTTTAGATCTGTGAGAGTGAGGAAGATTCCAAAAGGAACAAAGACCTGTCCTCTGGGGAACACTCTGACACAGAAAGAAAGGGGTGTTGGAGGAGAGTCCTGGAGATTTCTTCATGTACTGCAACCCTCTGTTCTTAAAAAAAAATTGGATTTTAGAGCTATAAACCAAACCACAATTACACAAAAATGATTTTCTCTGAAATAATTAACAAAAGTAAAATTATAAAACTGACACAATGATTGTATACAACCTTGCACTTCTCTGTCATTATTTCAGGATCCAGTGGGGATAGTCTGTTGACCCAGACTCCACTCTTTTTGCCTGTCACCCCTGGAGAGCCAGCCTCCATCTCCTGCAGGTTTAGTCAGAGCCTCCTGCATACCTATTTGAATTGGTACTTACAGAAGGTGAGCCTTGGGGATGCTCCACTACAGAAGCTCTGCAAAAACCCCCAGGGCTCTGCACTCTCCCAGCCAGCTCAAGTGTCCATAGGGGACATAGATTCTCTGGCTGATAGATTTCCAGAGGCCTGTGGAGAGAGCAGATTACTCTTTACCTGCTCAACTGGCTCCTTCTGCAGGAGTCACTGGGGGGCTAGGGACAAATCCCTATGTGTCGTAGCCCCATGCCGTGTTCCCAGCTTCCTCTTTCTTCACCCCAGCATCTGTGTCCTCCTTCCCTCAACTCTCAATACCTTCCCTCTGAAGATCCACTAGGAGTGCTCCAGTCTTCCCTATGTCCTGGCCCTCCAAGGCAGATGCACCTCCTGGCTGTGTCTACTTAGGCTTCTTTGTTCTCCTTGTTATGAGAAGCTGTTATATAACTAAGAGAGTTCATTGCACTGCTCAGATGTGCTGTGATCTTTTCTGAAGCTAAATTTTATTAACTCAGGTAGCTCATCAGAGGGTGGGGAAATATTACTAGAACAACTGGAGTTCCCTTTTTACAATGAGATGGTCATGTTAATTAAATGTTATCCAAAGAGCTCAAGTTATAGAGGACGTAAAAGTCACAATTTCCTTCAGTCATAAAGGTAAACTCAGGTGTCCAAAATATAAACTGAAATAGAAAGTTGACAATGATAAGAAAAGATAATGGGAAATACTGTCACGTATTTTTAAAGTGATAGAGTTAAAGAATTAGAGAATTGCCGGGCGTGGTGGCTCAGGCCTGTAATCCCAACACTTTGGGAGGCCGAGGCAGGTGGATCACGAGGTCAAGAGATTGAGACCATCCTGGTAAACATAGTGAAACCCTGTCTCTACTAAAAATACAAAAATTAGCTAGGCATGGTGGCGCGTGCCTGTAATCCCAGCTATTCAGGAGGCTGAGGCAGGAGAATTGCCTGAACCCAGGCGGCGGAGGTTGCGATGAGCCGAGATCGCGCCATTGCACTCCAGGCTGGGTAACAAGAGCGAAACTCCGTCTCAAAAAAAAAAAAAAAGAAAAGAATCAGAGAATTTTAAGAATGAGTAGGACTGAATAAAATGGAAAAGGAAAGGGTAGGAAAAAAGGAGGCAGAATAGAAAAAAAAAAAATATTTTCAATGATATTGACCAGAAAGGTTTGGTTGGAAAATAGGATCTGTGGAAGGAAAAAGCAAGACAAGGATACTACCTTCTATGTGGGAGGTTTTAAATAGGAGGAATCAAGGATTTAATGTCAAGAAGGACCAAAGTTAAACGTTGACTACAGGTAAATAAAAGAGACCAGGAGAGGAAGGAATCCAAATGGAAACTTTCCAGAGTCAAGGAGGTACAGAGAAGAGAGAATGATCCAGGAGGATGTAAAACTCACTGGACCCCTCTCTTGAGGGTAAACATAAATCTTAAACTGACTCAGTCATGTGACCTGCCATTAAAACACACACACACAGGTTCCTGTGACACAAAAATTCTTGGCAATGTCTATAAGAGATCACAAAGTTTTTCTTTAATAATCTTTCACAAAAAGAGATCCGGAAAAAGCCAAATCTTTTAATTTTATCCTGTGCGCTGCAAACCCCCTCAGGAATACATCAAGAGATGTAACCTCTTTGACAGACAAAGGAAGCATGCATGTTTGGGGCTGTGTGCAGAGGAAGCAGCTGCTGCAGCAAAGACCCACTGGCCTGAGGCCTGGGGAGGAGGTTTGTGTTCAAGGCTGAAGCACTGTGGGAGGAGCGCTATGGAACTGCTGGCAGTAATAAATTGCCACATCTTCAGCCTGCAGGCTGCTGATGGTGAGAGTGAAATCTGTCCCAGACCCACTGCCACTGTATCGGTCAGGGACCCCAGACACCCGGGTGGATGCCCAGAGGATGATTTGCTTAGGAGCTTGTCCTGGTTTCTGCTGGTGCCAGGCTAAGTAGTTTCTGGAGCTTGATAAAAGACTCTGGCTGGACTTGCAGTTGATGGTGACCCTCTCACCCAGAGACAGAGCCAGGGAGTCTGGGGACTGGGTCATCACAATGTCCCCATAGGTACCTGCGATCAGAAATGGACAATAATTATACATAAACTTACACACACTACCTTATGTACATTGAAATATATCACTTAAAATGTGCTTTCTAATAGTATTACAAGTCAGCACATAAGTGGGTCCATATTGGAAATAGTCATTATTTCCCACTACATCTTAATTTTGTTTTCTACACAGATATTACTCTTAAAAGACTGCAGCATTTTTCAGTTTCTCACCAGAGACCCAGAACAACAGGGATACAACAATTTGGGTCTGTGATACCATCTTGCTGCCGCTGCCTGCCTGATGCACGTTGCAAAGGTCGCTTTTATAAAATCTGGGACTGTAGCCTGAAAGGAGCCTATCCAAAGCAGCCAGAGAGTACAGAAGCAAATTTCATGAGCAGTGGGTTGTGAAAGTATCCAATGCAAATCAAGAGCCAAAAATATCATCATAGAACATGTGATTGTGTGACTGGAAAAGACACAAAACTCAACTTAGAAGCTCTAAGAATTCAGAAGCTCACTACACATGACTAAATGATCTAATGAAGAGACTTGGTTTTACATCAGAAATATATTTAAATGATTTGAGTTTCTAGAAACAGTAGACTAATTTCCTCAGACCAATAATCCTGGTAAAATAATAAAACATGCCGGGGAAAAAAACTAAAACAAAGAAAGGAAGCGAGGCAGCAAGGGAGCGAGACAGGAAGATAGTAAAGGGAGAGAAAGGAAAAAGAGAAAAATAAAGTGACAACTTATGGCCAAAATGTTTATAAAACCTGTAACTAAAATATATCTCACCTCCAAAGCTTTTATCCTGTAGGTATTTAAGAAAACTGCAAACACTTGAGATCTGGCTTCAGAGCTATGTCTGGGCCGGAGAACTTAAGATAAGCACAGAATTCACCTATATGGCAAACCCTGTGGGACTTTAAGCTAGGGGCAAGAAGGGCTCTAATCTCAAAGTAATAGTGAACCAAAAAGAAACCAGAAACTCTTCTTTCCACAACTGCTAGGAACTGAAAAGAGGGTTCCAGGTTAATTGGGAAATAGAGAAGAAAAGCACAATTTTCTTGGAAAATAATGGCTGCAGTCCAGACTTTCAAGGACTTTTACCCCAAGAATGCATGGCTGAGAAGGGTCTAGAGCTCTCCAGTTTTGAGATTGCTTTAAGGTAATTGTTCTGGTATGGCATCCAAATGAAAACCGCTCTGGAGGAGGGCATGACCATTCTAAGTTTTCAAGAAACTTTACGAGTAATTTTCAGAAGGCCAGTAGCCCACAAAGTCAGAGATTTTTGACATCCAAATGCAATAAGATGATTGGAGTATGAAGGAGAAACAACAGAAATAACAAAGAGCAAAGTCTGACTAGACTTCATATTTGGGATCAAGAAAGCATATTTAGGGAAATAAATAACAAACTTGACATTATGTGCAAAGTACAAGAAACAAAAAAAAAAAAACAGGAACACCATCAACCAACTGGATGTAATTAACATCTGAGGGTATTTTGTATCTAAAGAAATTTATTTGTCTGATCTTAAAACTTTAGCATTCAGGCCAGCCATGGTGGCTCACTTTGAGAGGCCAAGGCAGGCAGATAGCCTGAGGTCAGGAGTTTGAGACCAGCCTGACAAACGTGGAGAAACCCCATCTCTAATAAAAATATAAAATTAGCCAGGCATGGTGGTGCATGCCTCAATCCTAGCTACTCGGGAAGCTGAGGCAGGAGAATCTCTTGAACCCAGGAGGCGGAAGTTGCAGTGAGCCAAGGTTGTGCCATTGCACTTCAGCCTGGGCAACAAGAGTGAAAGTCCATCTCAAAAAAAAAACTTTAGCACTCAGCCAGAAACATTGACCACCAAATATGAGTTCTAATTCCGCTATAACAATATGCCTTTCCTTTTTATATTTCCATAAATGGACAATTCAGGGAAATTTTTCTCATGTGGAATATTTACATAAATTCTGTTTCCAATTTTACCTCAGAATACTAGAATACCATAATATGAAAAACCCAAACAGTGTCTGGGTTGAGGAGGTTGGTAGTTTCTGGGGGCAAGGATACTAAAAATGAGTAAGATCTGCCCAAGTAAGTTTCTAACAAGTTATCATATTCTCTAGATTTTTGTTAAATATTATAATTTTACCTTGTGACTGCTCCAATGAGCTCAAACTCATTTCTTTTTATTTCATTTACTATTGTTCATTCAGATTCAGCAAATAGAGGGCAGTCTTGAGGATCCAGAAAAGTCAAGAAAGTTAACACACCTGCTACTCATGTTGTTTAGAAAGAACGTATACACTCTGAGAATAAACACATTCCCAGAGCTTTTTCTGAACTCTCTGTTAACTACGGTATTTATCTGTGAATTTATGTTCTAGTGAGCTGCAAATCACAGGTATTTAGCGAATGTGCCCAACCTCAATCAAAGGCGCCTCTGAACTCAGGATTCCACTCCAGCTAATCTGCAGATAAGAATTTACAGTTCAAATGCACGTTGGGTCATATCACAATTCTTGTTTAACTCAGTAGGGTATGGTGAGCTCCCAAAGATTTAATCTACCTGTATCATACACCTGAAAATGATCTGAGAGAGAATGTCATTCAGAAGAGACCATGTAGTCAAGAAGTAGATTATGTTGACCAAAGGCAGAGCTGGGGCTGGGAAGCTCAGTAGGAAATTCAGTGGTGGGAACCAAGGGCCATGTCTAAGACATACGTAAGGGACAACTAGTGCAGCATTGGAGATGGGAAGCCCCATTAAAAAGTGAGAAGTTTCACTCTGCCCAACAGGCACACTCTCTCAGCTGCCTTTCTCTCTCAAGACCACAGCAAATATACTAAGGAGAAATCCAGCCTGGTGTTATGAGCTCAGCTCTTGTCCAATCTATTAAGGCAGCTCCAAGCAACTGACAGACTCAGCTGGATTCTCCTCCCAGTAGTGTTACTTCTGCCTGACCCAACCCAGAAACCCTGTCAACACTCAACTTCAGTAACTTTCACTACAGAACTAAGTGAGATAACAACAAGCTGGGTTCTGTTTAGAAGCACAGAGTAAGAAATTTCCCTGTGCTGTGCAGGGGCTAACAATGGACACCCAAAAGGACATTCAACCCCCAAAGCAGCAACCAATGAAATACATATGTATATACATATATGTATATGTATATATGTGGAGAATGTCACACAGAAAACGAAATAAAATACAAGAATCCAATCAGATGCAGAGAATGTGGATACAAAGTAACATACAAGAAAAGGACTAAAAGATTGGTGGTTTTGATACTTGATGAAACCTGAGAATTCAGAGAAATGTATTCACTTATACTTGGATTTGCCCTCTCAATGTTTCTCATTGTTGTATAGTTTCCGTTTTGTATACAGTAGTCCCCCCTTATCCTCCAGGGATGTGTTTCAAGACACCCAGTGGACTCCTGAAACCTCAGATACTACCAAACCCTTTATACACGGTTTTCTCTATATGTACATACCTATGATAAAGTGTAATGTATAAATAAGGCATAGCAGGAGATTAATAACAATAATAAAATAGAACAGTGTTAACAACATACTGTAATAAAAGTTATGTGAATGTAGTTGGTCTCTCTTGCTCTCAAAGTATCTTCTTGTACAGCACTCACCTGTTTTAGACTTTGGTCGACTACAGGTAACTGAAACCACAGAAAGGGAATTTTTGGATGAGGGGGGACTAATATACTTAGGAATACATATGATCATATACATATGATTTTATTTTTAAGACTATATTTTAGTTAGGTATGTAATAGTATATTATATAAAGCAATTTTTATTCCATTACATGGCATTTAGTTTTATTATATATGTAATCTGACACACAAAAAAAGCATAAAATTGCTTCTCGCAACCACACTTTTACTCAAAACTTAGAATCATCTGCAGTCTTTGGTTAAAAATGTGTTTTTCTAGAAACTTCTGCAGTCTGACTAAATAAATTCCATGGAAACTATGAAAAAAAAAGAAAGAATGAAATGAGAGCTCAGATTCACCTCACCTACAGAGGTCTATTTCTTCTTAGAATTTTAGGTCATCTAATCTTCATGTCTTCTGTAGCTCTCCAATCTCATTATGCACATGAAATTTTAGTTTAACTTTTTGTTTATTTCTCTTTTTTATTTCTTTATATGAGCTGTGGTTTTGTTGTAAGATTTTGTTTATTTCTGCATTTATAGCAATGGCTATGTTGGTCTTCTAACAGGAAGTTTTTCATTTTTTAATTAAATTATAATGTAGAGGTTCTCACTTCTTTATTATATTATAAGGTATAAAGGTTTATGTCAATCAATAAATATATGTGACATAATCACACAAATGCTGAAAACTTTTAAAAACCAAAGAAATGATAGTGATCATGTCAGAGTTTATAATATTAGATAATAAACATCATTTCCATATGCCAGTAATAAATTTCTAGAAATATATGTTTGAAATATACCCCATTTAAAATTATCTCTTTTTTTTTTCAAGAAGAGGTCTCACTATGTCACTCAAGCTGGCCTCAAATCCCTGAGATCAAGCCATTCTCCTTCCTCGGCCTCTCACTTCTAATACTATTTGTGATTTAATATCAGGACACATCATTTATGGTATTATGTTACACTAAAGAAAATGAAGGTTTGAATTAACAACAAAATAATCTCCTTCTGGTAAAGAAAATAAACTGTATTTGAGATGCTGCCTATTCCAAAGTAAGACACTCCATGGTGAGTGCAATCAAAATTTCAATGACAATATACAGCATAAATCTGTATAGAGAGCATGAGCACAAAAAGAAAACTTAATTCTTTTGATTAAAAAAATCATTATCTTGGCCAAGTGTGGCAGCTCAAGCCTGTAATACTAACACTTTGGAAGGCCAAGGAGAGCAGATCATTTGAGGTCAGAAGCTTGAGAACAGCCTGGCCAACATAGTAAAATTCTGTCTCTACTAAAAATATGAACATTAGCCAGGCTTGGTGGCTGCACCTGTAGTCCCAGCTACTTGGGAAGCTGAGGCAGGAACTGCTTGAACCCAAGAAGCAGAAGTTGCAGTGAACCAAGATTACACCACTTCACTCCAGCCTGGGTGACTGAGTGAGACCCTGTGTCAAATAATAATAATTTTTTTTTCAATAATTAATCTAGAAATATTTGAAGTCCCAAAGAGAGAAAAAAATAATAGAGCAGAAGGAAATATACTTGGAAAAAAGAATGGACAGATACTTATCAGTGCTACTGTATTAAAGAAATGCTAACGATAGTTCTGATAGAAGGAATGCAACAATAAGTAGAAATAGGATATTTAAGATAT